AATTATATTATGATGTTTCATATTTGACATTTATATACTATAGATGATATTATAAGCGCTAAGCTTGCAGATAAAAAATATAATCAATAGGTAGATATGAATTAAATAATCTGTATTCCATACAAAATCTTAATAAATTATGTAATTATCTTAATTAATTGATTGTATAACTATTTATGCAACTTTTATAAAAGCGATAAATCACCAGATATCAATGTATCTTACAACACTTCGTACGATCTATACTTACCAAAGAGGTCGACTATGATATTTGTAGGAAAGTTCGCTGCTGCATGAAGCATCACTGCAGCGCCAAGGGAAAGCAGATAGCGGTAAGCCACATGATTGAGCTTATCATTTTGCAGAATTGCTATTGCCATTACAATATGTGAAAGCCAGGAGACTAGAGCTATGCAAATGGCTAGAGTTAGATGGAAACTGGCAATATGCGTTGGCCAACCTAAGAAATCGGAAGATATTTCCAAATCACTTCGAGTATCAGGTTTGTGCCATGCCAAACCTTCGGTTAAAAACGCAGCAGCAATATCCAGATTGCTAGCATTGCTAATTTTAATGGAAGTATCAATTATATTTGCGATTCCTCTGTTAGCAGTTTCATTTATTCCCATAAGATTTCTCATATTTTCAACTTTTGGAACCTCATAACGGCTAAGAGAGTCATATAGCCGGGATTGATTTGCTTCGCTTTGATACCAGTCGGACTCCTGTGAAGCAATTTCAAGAAGTAAATCATGCAAGCTCTTAGCGTAACTAGATTCTTTGGTAAAAGCATCATCATTGTCCCTATTTCCGAATATGTTAATCCAAGAATATTCCCTATTTACTTTCAAGTTGTGTGAAGACGCATTTGAGGTTATGCCGTCACCCTGTGAAGATAAAGTTATATTTTCAACCATGATACAGGAAAGTCTTTATCTTCACCAACACTGTAGGCGGATCTATGATATGGATCTTCAAAAGGCTCTTCGGTGGGACTGCAGAGATGTGACAATATTTGCAATCCTGACTTGAATATAGCTAAATCAAACTTTTTCCGTATGATAAAATATGGTCTGATTTCAGGCTTAATCCATAAGTCTCTCTGGCTTTCTC